CTGTGGAGGTTGTAGTGGGGATGTCTATAGGTCTCACGGTGCCCCATGTGAGAGCCGGCAGTCTGTTATACTTGGTGCTTTAGCCAGCATCTCTACGCGCTTGGCAGAAATGCTTGGTCTGTGTACTGTTGCCTGACACCATGTTTGTTCTGGATGAGAGAACCAGAGGGAAGATAATAGAATCACAGAATGGTTTGGGTTGGAAAGGACCTTATGATCATCTAGTTCCAACCCCCTGCCATGGGCAGGATGACAGTGAAGTGTTCTGAATCTGCCAGTCAGACAGTCCTGTGCCTCTGCATTGCCCAAGTAGAGGCAGGTTGGTTAATTGGGCCCAGAGGCATGGTCAGGTTTTCCCATCTGGTCCTCCCAAGCTGACAAATGCTTGGGGATGTGAGGAGCAAGTGTGCAAACCAGACCAAGATGTTCCCGTTATTTCCATCCAGACATGTACACCAATCCTGTTCCTAAAATACTCTTAACCTTTACTTGTCGTGCACAGGCTGAAATCCTCACAGATAATAGTGTCCTGGGAAAATCTTCTTGCAATTAATCAGTAGGCTGATATATTGTTCTCCCCTCCCTTGTCAGAAGCTGTACCCTGACTTGGCTCTTCCCTTAAGTTCAACTGGTGCTTCTGGGAAGTGCTGTGCTCTTGAAGCCTTGTTTATGGAAAATAATATGATTTTTAAATTTGTTTGCATTAATGGTCTGTAAGATAGCACTCTTAAGTGCATGGGGGGTGAAGATGGTACTGAGCAACAGCAAGTAACCAGGATGGGCTTAAAAATATCCTTGTAATAATTTATTGGCCTTCCATTTTTATTCAAAGCTTTCTTACTCGTTTCTGTGTTTGTTTTTGTTCAAGCAGCATCCTCTGGGCTGAGAAGTTTCACCTCCTGCTGCAGCTGCTCTGCCTGTGCTCACAGAGCCGTGTTCCTCTCTGCTGTCTGTGCTGCAGCACCTTGCTGAGCTCCAGGCAGCCCCTCCACCCCTTCCCGGGGTCACTGTGGAAGGACCATGGCAGACACCGGGGAGGGGAAAAAGGAGGAGGCTGAATATAAAAGACTTCATACCTTTCCACTGATTAGGGTAAGAAGAGATTATGCATTTACCAGTGTTACAGATATGAAATTCCTTCTACCAACCTTCCAAACTAGAATTTCTCCCACTGAGTAGCTGCTGTGAGCACATGTGTGCTGATGGTCCTGTGGTGGGATCCTGGTCATCACTGCTGCTTTCTCCCTATCCTTGACCTCTGTCAGGGAAATTCATTAGCCACTGTTCCCTCCTCTCAGGTAGGGGAAGCCTGGGGCAAAGTGAGCCATCTGATGGACTGACCATGCTGCCTTTGAAACCCTCTTCTGTGTTGTGGATGCAGCTTGCTTTTTTTTGCTAGAGGAGATGGAGTAAAAGTTCTCACTAGCCAGCCAGATAGCAGAAGAGGAAGAAAAGGCTGTGTAACTTCAGACTTCTTTGTTATGCTTATAGCAATAATTAAGGACTGTGGTTTGAGCCAAATTAACATGCTTTCCCTTTACCTTATAACTAAAACTCACAAATGTATTTACCTCCTCCTTTAAGCTGTGCTTACTTAGTGCTAGTCTTAATGTTAGGTAGAGAAGAATTCTGCATTGGCTGGGTCAAAGGAGCAAATAGATCACTTGTAATACAATAAAGCATTTTCATATTTACTGTTCTCTGAAACAGTGGAAATGCTTGGTGTACAGACAAGCCTGTGTTGCTGGTGATGCCCCCCACCTTGAAGCAGGCATTAAAAGTCACAGGGACTAGCTGCCTCTTACCCTCACACAGCAGTCTATACCCTGTGCCAAAGTGAGGGCTGCTTACTGTTGTCTTGTGTCTAGCTCTTATTTTTCTGCTTAGTTCCTCTTGTTGGTTTTCTCTTTCCAGCACACAGACATGCCGGAGGAGATGCGTGTAGAGGCCATGGAGCTGTGTGTCACGGCATGTGAGAAATATGCCACCAACAACGAGGTACTAGCCACATCCCAAAATGGCTGCTGCGGCTCAGGGAACCTGCAGGTGCAGGGCTAAGGGTGCAGGGCAGAGTGGAGTCGCATCCTGACATCCTATTACTCTCTTTCTCCACTGAGCAAGGGTAGAAGGCAAAGATCGTGGCTAGATCTTAGATTTGGTTCCCTTTGTCAGCAAGATCCACAATAGCACTTTGCTTTCCTGCAGGAAGCAGAGATCGGTAGCAATGCTGCCAGCCAAACCATACCGCTTTCCTTACTCTGCCTTTCCTGTAACATGCTTCCACTCTGATCATAAAATGCCCTGTGTCCCAAGGGCTTGGTTCAGAACTGCATGGAGACTCCTGTTTTAGGGAGTCTTTGAGCCTTTAGGTACAGTTTGTCAAGTCTTCTCTCTTGGCTTTTAGCCTCCTGAAGGAAATTACTGAGACCATATAAATAAGGGGTGATGCAGAAGTTATGGCCTTTTGAAAGTTACCCGTAACTTTGATAACCAATGATAAAGGAAGGTACACCTTGCTCCATGGGCATGGCACAGACTGCTTCTTGCTGGAGCAGTTTTATGTTGGAGCAAAAAGGCAAAGCTATGAAGCCAGAGATTCCTTGTGTCCCATCATGCCTGAGACACCTCATGTCACTGCAAAATCCTTTTCTCCTTTTTTTAGATCAAGCAGGTTGTGATCTGGGAGAAGCAACAGCCTTTTAAAAGTCGGCCTAGTTTCAGTGTTTTGGTAATTAGCTGGAGGAAGAAAAAAATGGACTCCTGTAGAAATAGCCACAGCTTAGTGACCTGAATCTCCTCTCATGCTCACTACACCCTGCGTAACTGTCAGCATCTAAGCCAGAACTCTTGCTGCAGACTGTGTGAATGAGAGAATGATTGCTAGATGCAGCTCTTTAATTTCTCCTAGCTGCTGTGTGAGAGGCTGCTGTAAACACAGAGACCTGGTTTACCCTTGGGCATAGCTTTGGGGAGCTCCCAGTTCCTGCAGTGCAGTGGCTGTACCTGTTGCCCATGGCTTGAGTAGTCTGTTGAAGGGAGAAGATAACTAGAGGGATGGTTGCATAAAATCTCACTGTTTGCTCTGTCTCACCTTGTGCTCCCCTTACCATTCTCCAGAGTGCTGCCAAGATGATCAAAGAGACGATGGACAAGAAATTTGGGTCCTCCTGGCATGTGGTGATTGGGGAAGGTTTTGGCTTCGAGATCACTCACGAGGTGAAGAATCTGCTTTACATGTTCTTTGGTGGCAGCCTGGCCGTATGCGTCTGGAAGTGCTCCTGACATCTGGCTGGGTCCCAGACTCGCTGCATACAAGAGATTTCTTCCTTTTCTTGACAGGTTTTGTACAATCTGGAGGTGGGGCTTTATTTTTAATAGTTAAATGTCAAGATTTTTTCTTTCCATACTGACGTAACAGTTCCATGGGATACATGTAGTTGCTGCGTGTGTGTGTGTGTGTGTGTGTATAAACTTGCAAAACTGTCCTGTCCTTGCTCATGGGATTTCTCATCTGTCTGTGGCTCCTTCTGTGGTGTCTGAGCCGAAGCTGGAAGGAGGTGGGGAATAGGTAATCTCACGACACGCTGCAAAGCCGTGCAGCAGCGCTAGGAGGGGGAAGTGAAAGAGGAAAGATGCTATCTAGCCCTACAGGTTTTTTCCCTCCCACTTGTTCCACATCTTGTCCTCTCTTCTCTGCCTTCCCCACTACCGTGTGGTATGGCTTTGACCAGCACCTGTCTCTCCTCTCTCTGAATACCATCTTCCCTGCTTCTGAGATGCCTGTACAAAACTGGCAGTGCCAAGGCTGCCCGTGGCGGTGTGAGCCACAGGGAAGCAGACCTGGCTTGCCCTTCCCCACTTCTTTTGGGAGGGTACAACAGCTGAGCTGTCTGGGTGTAGGAGGTTGCTATGCAAACTGCCCCCTCCTTTCTCACCCACCGCTTACTGAGATAGCATGAAAACACAGGCGGCTGACGATGCCTGGGGAGTGGGTGAGAACTCTTCATAAGGCTCAAATGCCTCTCTGTCAGTTCTTGGGGGTGTAGCAAGTGCTGTGTACTTTCAGCATCTTGTTTGGAGGCTGAGAGAGGAAGGAGGCTCCATGTGAGATGTCACATCAGAAGCCTCACATCTTTTTGGACTTGCGTTCTTTTAGCCTGTTTCATTTTTTAAAGCTGTCAGTGCTGGAGGATGGAGTGAACGTCAGCGTATGTTACGTACATGGCTTATTTATATAAATCTGGGGAACCATGTTTTTACAATAAAAATGTAGGAAAATGTCCTTTTCTGTGTCTGTTTAAAATGAAGATCCCAAAGTGGAGGACGAGAAAGAAAAATAGTTCAGAAAACATGGAAGTAAGCAAGCAATGGTGTAGCTCAGGCAGAGGACAGTGACAAGCCTCCATCCTGCATGTTTCCTGGGCAACATCTCATCCTCCCTGTTGAGTTCCTTTCAGCAGTGCAAGAAGTGATGATAAGGCCAGGCACACAGTGCTGCTGGCCAAAGTCCACTCACCTGTCTAAGCAATAGCAGCAAGGCAGCATGCTGGTATCCTCTGCCCAGCCAGTGTGCCTCTGCTCTGACCTTTGTGTTTGTGGCTTCCTTGATACTCAGTTTTCCTCTCAGAATGTCACCAGCAGTACCACTTGCACCTTGTGTTTTATGAGAGGCCACGCTCAAGGCCATAGTTCAAGTCCGAAGGACCTTTTTGCATTAGTGCCTGCACTGGATCAAACTGGTGGAGGCTCTTGCAATTCCTTTTGCTCCTGTTCTGAACCTCAGCGTGGTGCTAGAGATGTCCTTCCTCCATGATTAGCGGGCTGGAGCACCTTCCTTATGAAGACAGACTGAGAAAGTTGGGGCTGTTCAGCCTGGAGAAGACTGCATGGAGACCTCATAGCAGCATTCCAGTATCTGAAGGGGGCCTATAAGGATGTTGGGGAGGAACTCTTCGTTAGAAACTGTAGTGGTAGGACAAGCGGTAATGGCTTCAAACTTAAACAGGGGAAGTTTAGATTAGATTTAAGGAAGAAGTTCTTCACAGTGAGGGTGGTGAGGCACTGGAATAGGTTGCCCAAGGAAGTTGTGAATGCTCCATCCCTGGCAGTGTTCAAGGCCAGGTTGGACAGAGCCTTGGGTGACATAGTTTAGTGTGTGGTGTCCCTGCTCATGGCAGGGGGTTGGAACTAGATGATCTTAAGGTCCTTTCCAACCCTAACTATTCTATGATTCTATGATTTCATTATGTCAGGAGCTCTTCTATAAGCCAGGAATTGAGTAATTTGAAGACAACTAGAAATTATTTCAAATTTGGACCATCTGTGCTGGCTGGGCCCAACATCCTCTCACGTAATTCACTATGGATCAGGTGGAAGGAAATTGCAAGACTGGGTGGATACGTAACTGGTGCCATGATACCAGCACTGTGCGGTGGACCACAGTGGCAGGATGGCTGTGCAGTGTAGAAGAGTCCAAATCCTTTGAGCTGTCTCTTGGTGTGGTGACTGCCTCCCTCCAGCTGGCTGCCTTTACATTAAGATAGCACTGTTGCCTGGCACTTTGCAGCTGGCACTTGGAAAAGACTATTTTCTCTTCCACGGCTTTCTACCTCCTCTAGATTCTGAGGGAAAGGTAAAGCCAGCATCTTTGGGATGCTCTGCTTTGGAGCATGATGGTGCCTTCAGCCATGCCACAGTCCCTTTAAGTGTGCCTCTATCATGCTAATGAATAATTAACTGCTGTGTGCAAATGCACAGACAACGCTGTGTCATGAGCACCTCTGTAGGGTCATGGTGACCTGCAGGTGACCACAGGGAGCTGCTTACCTCAGCACACAATCTTTTGGCATTGCTGCCAGTTTGTTCTCTCTCTAGCCAACAGCTGACCAAAGCTAATGTCTCCATGACCTGCATCAGCAGTAAGCAAACGCTGACCGCTCCCCAGCCTTCTCCAAGCATGAGCGTGCAACCAGGTTGAGGTGAGCTAGGTGTGAATTTACTGCAAGTGACTCCTGCCCTGTAACTCCCCCAGTGTAAGTGCAAGGTGGCTCACAGGAGAGCAGCAGGCTATTTTGTTTCCAAGCGTTAACAGCTTTCCCACAAGATGTTACTATGAAGAAGCCAACCCATCTTACCCAGTTTGTGTGCTCTGTACAGGAAAGCATGAACCTCAGCTTCACAAAACACAGCTGTGTGTCAAAGCCCCTGCTTTGAGGCAAGTGTTCAGTAAGATGGATTGATTTTCCTGCCTGCTGCAAGTTGACCCATGCTGTGCTGTCCCCTGTATGTTAAAAGAAAGACTTTTGCCTTCCTTTTGCTGTGGAACTGGCACATTTTTGAGCACTTCTGTATCCCAGAAACATAGAATAGCTTGGGCTGGAAGAGACCTTAAAGCTCATCCAGTTCCAACTCCCTGCCACAGGCAGGGACACCTTCCACCGAACCAGGTTGCTCAAAGCCAGTTCGTGGATCAGAGATGGTCTCCTGAGTTTTCCCGCAGGAGACCCGCCTGCCACTGATGCTCTGGAGCCTCTAGGGCCTCCCTGCTTTTGACTATCAAACTGCAGCCTCTTGCTGAAGAATTTTACCTTACAAATTTTCAGCAGAAATTTGGGAAGTTGGCAACAGGTGGCTTGGTATTGTGTTCTCTTCCTCTCATTTCCTGCCCCCTGCATGTTGCTGCCATTACCCATCAAAGCATCAGGCTGAGTCAGATGTAGAAAATGAGATGAAAAACACAGGGTGATCCATCTATGCCAGCTGAAATGACCCCTTCTATCTGCCCATCCTGGAAAGCTGCGATAGCAGCTCAGGGGGCTGAGGATGACTTCATCCTTCCCTGCTGAGGGGAGATGGGAAACATCATTATTAGCTGCTGGAGAGTCCTGACTCGGTGCCAGTGGTGGAAATGTCATTGGATGTACAGCTCTTCCTCCACCCCAGGGGTGACTTGAACTTGCTGGGAAGCAGGGAAAGGTGCTGGGAAGATGGAGGAAGAGATGGCGGGGAGGGAGAGATGGGAAGAAAGAGGCGCGAATTCAACCACTTCTCTGTTATGATGTCATGGCAACAAGGTACGTCCGCACGATGTCAGGCGATGGGGGCAGGCTTTGAAGCTCTCTAGCTCTTCCCCGTTGCTGCAGGCTCGTGTCTGACTCGCTGAAAAATCCTGTAGTTAATATTTAATGCCAGCATTGAAGCGCTGAGGGTGACAAGTGCCCCCACCTAATCCCCCTACTTTCACTTTCCAATGGGATGCTAAATCAAGGGAGGGGGAGGTAGGATTGCAGGCTTCCCTAGCCCAGGGATGGACTCCTGGTCAGTAGGGTGGCTTCAACCCATAGGGTCTCTGTCCCCTTCTGGCTCCAGGATTTGGGAGGGAGGTTTCTGTTTGGAGCTGGTTTGGGGCACTGGAAAGAGGGGTGTGTTTGTGTGTGTGTGTGTCTCCCTCTTCCCTTAGTCTCCCAGGGCTGGCTCTGGAATAAAGAAATCTGTGGCCCTGCTCTGGGAGCGGAGCCCAGCTCCTTTGATGCGATCGGTTAACACATGGTTTTTGTTGGTGTTTTTTTTCTGCTAAGCAGTGACCTAATGATCCCGTGTTCCAGCTACAGCCCCTCCTAGGTGCCTTCTTTCCAAACCCTATGTCCGGACTGGATCCAGCAAACCTTCCGGAGCAAGACGCCATGTTCCCTTCCCTGGGGGGGGAAGCCATCTGCTCTCCTTCACCCGGCTCCTTCTGCAGAGCTTCAAGCTCACCAGCCAGGCAGGAAAACTCTCCTCCTCCTGGATCACTCTGGCTCCCATCGGCCATCTTGTCAGCGCAAAGCTCAGGAAGGGAATGCAGGGCTGGCTGAATCTGGGACGGCTGATGGTGTCAGCCACAGACGGTTTCCAGGCAACTGTCACGCTGTGGGACATAGCGAGCCAAGAACACCAGGAACACCACGTTCCGTCTGCACTGCCTGGGAAGGGGATGAGCCTGGCACAGAGGGAGCCAGCACGAGACGGTGCAGAGAGGGCAGCGTGAGCAAGAGGGTAGTGCAGGGATGGCAGCAGAAGAGCCCCTTCTGCATACACCCTGCTGTCCGCTGCTCATCATACCCTCACTGGTTTGGAGCAAGGACATCCAAGCTGGCTGCTGTGAGAAAGGACATGTGCCCTCTGCATCCTTTGGGAAAACAAAAAGAGGAAAAACGTTGCTCGGGACTCCATAACCAAGCCCCCAGGCTTGTTGCGGGTGTTTCCGTACTTCTCTGTCCCTTCACAAATGCAAAGTTCCCTCCCTACAAGTCACCAACACTTTCTGCCCATGCAGCCCAGCTCCATGTCCCTGGGTGTCACTGGAAAAGTGA